AATAATTCTACTAATTGCTTTCATCGTTTCTGATAGCTCACGGTGATATTGGATCGTTTTTCGCCGTGGAACTTTAATATCTGCTATTTAAATGTCTATCTCAGGGGTTTTATTGGCCGATGTGGATCCTTTAATAACTGTCAGTGCGGACGTCTGTAGGATCCGATCAATCACTGGAAGGAATCGCTTTGCATGAGCGCCGCATAGTGCGCTCGATAATGCGTAGTGATGGGACCTTTTTGGATTTAGGGATATAAGTTACTTAGTTTGGTTGAAATGGTACTTGTAAAATAAACCCGACTTTTTCTATTTTTAAACCGCAGACGGTGGTGACTGAGTTTGTTGTGAAATGTGATGCCTCTTCTCAGAATTTGCCAAATGTTTGTCTCGAAGCGCTGCTAGGAGAAATAAATAATGAGACAAGTAAAGGGTCCGAGGATTTGACGATTTGTAAAAGATATTTTTGATTTTGAAAGCTTGCTACAAGGATAAAAAATTTAAGACGGTGGCGAATTTTAACCTGTTGGATTACATTTTAAATGAAGATGAATTTAACAAGCTAGTTAATTCGTAGTAGAAGAGCCTAAATGAAGGGTCTTTATTATGAAACGAAAACTGTTTCAAGTTTGTGAAGATTGAGATTTTTCGTTTCGTGCAAAAATAAATCGTCAAGAAGTACCAATTAAAACGACATACTCGTTGATTTAAGCTTTTCATTCGATGAATTTCTTTGATAAAATAAGTAGACTTGAATTTTGAGAAAAGTAAGTCTCACAAAAAAATGTTTTCAGACTATTTACCTACTTAGGCTGGATTGCCCATCTTACTTTAACAGTAACTACAACATTAACCGGTGATTTTTGTATGAAATTTGACAGATTTTTGACGTTTGTTAAAGTCAAAGTATGATGGCGCAACTCAGCCTTAGTGAACACGAGTATCATACCACGTTACAGATATTTAGTGCCTGTAATAAACATACCCGGATTTGACTAAACTAATTTCTGGCACATCACTGGCCCGTGCTCAATCCGGTAATGTGATTACTCCATCGGACATTAGCGGGGCAAGACGGCACACGCGGACAAATCCGGTTTAGGCCTTTATTGCTATTTAAATGGAAGATGATATAAATATTAATACGGATTTAATATCTACAAGTAGTTTATGGGAAATCGACAAATCTGTTGTGTGGGAGATAATCCGTTTAATGGTAAACAGCTTTTGGAGGTAAAATCATGTAGGTCTCATAGTTCAGCAAAAATCAAACAACGTTGCTCGTAGCTTTCTACTACGGCAACAGTGTTAACTATCCATTGCCGGTCAGGTCATTTCGTTCTATCGCGAAGAATCACCATTTGATGTGAGCGAGGGCAAAAACAGAAATGGATAGATAACAATGTAGCCGAATAGTATTTGTCTTAATGTAAAGCCTACCTAATGTGATATGTCTGGTGAAGTGTTTTAATTTTATTGAATGGGGATTACAATTTGAGGAAATGAGATAGGTATCTAGAAGTAAAATTGGACAACCGGTCATTGTGGAAATAATTGAGGAGGCCTATGTTCAGCAGTGGACGTCCAATAGCTCAAAATGATGAGATGAAAGTTGGACAAATTGCTGCAAAAAAGTGAATCTTAATATTTCTCGTGAAAAAATTCCTAAATCTGACTATTAGTTCGATGATAAAACCAAACGTAACGATTTAATCATCAGTTTTACAACTCCATCATCATATTCTAACCGTCAACCGCTTCCACAGATTGGAACACATTAAAAATGCTCGAGGGTGTTTTCCATAATAAAGCCGTTAACTTAACGACCCTCGTGAGCTCGTGACAGTCGAATACAAGCCCGGTCTGCCCTTGTATCGTCTTATGAGTTGAGTTCATTGAGTTAAAAAATAAAAAAAAGGTTTATAAGAAGTATATCCGTTAAGCTAGCACCCATAACCACAAGCATTAAGTTGCTTACTTTGGGGCTAGCTGGCGCTGTGTGAAATTGTCCAAAGATTATTTATTTATCATCGGGTCATTTTATACCTACTTAGTGGCGAGCACTAATTTTCCAGTCAATGGTACTTAGAATTCCTATTCACAAATTTTTAGGTACCTAGGCAATGATTATTATTTTCAGATAGGCAGTGATTAATTTTCTATGAACTAGTTTATACTGTAATAGTAAACAAGTCATGTTTAAGACAGGCCACACATTTTACTTAAATGTTAATTTCGATGAATTTAAGAGCGCTTTCACATTAAGGCGTTATAAGCGCGACAGCAGCGCGGCAGCGGCGTTTTTATAATATGAAGGCATGCATCCGCTGTCACATACGAGTAGTATGAAATTTTTCGGCAGCGCGTCTGTCGCGCATTTGTCGCGCTGCTAAATCGCCTAAATGCAAAACTAACTGCTTATATGAAACATATTGTGGTAAAATCTGTGATGGCGTTCCCCGGTTAGTTTTTCATTTACACTTTAAAAGAAAATATGTGCTTAAATGCTTTTAAACGAAGTAATTAGTAATGAAAAGATTAACCGCCATATTTACGCCGACAGCTTAATTTTTACGGTCTGCAATCCTTGCTATGTATTCTCGAAGAAAATAAAACGAGCCCTTACTCGTGTGTACAGGCATAAATCTGTTCCCTAAGCAATAAAAATAATTACCGCGCATGTAAACACACCCCATCCCACTACCCTCGGGCGACGGCGTAATATTTGGGGGCACGGAGAGCCGCGGGCCAAGTTTTTTATTTATTACCAATATGGTAGAGAATTTGATGGAGTTTTTTTATGCATCGGTGACGTGAATATAAACCGATGAACATAGTCTGAAGGGGAAGCAATTTACTGCTGAGTTGTTAAAAAAAGATTACACTAAGAGGTTCTTTTTACATTTAAAACGATGACCTAATAAAGGTAGCAGGAAGGCGCTGGGTGCATTCGGTACCAACAAGGCGATGTGGAAATCATTGGGGAAGTCTATGTTCAGCAGTGAACGTCCTGTGGCTGAAATGATGATGACACTCAATGAAATCGTTCCTATTATCTCACTTTTTTTCCCAAAGTCCCCACAACTTGGCCCATTATTTACCTTTCACAAATTCCTTCGCCCCAACCGCCGACGACAAAACATCATAACACAGATTCCGTAATAAAGTAAGAGTCAAATTCATTACTCCAATTAGTCTGAGCGCGGCTCAAATTGGCTGTCGCGGCTTCCAGATGATGACGCGGAGGTAGCTCGATAAATTGAGTGAGCTGCTAGCAGTGGGTGAAGTGATACGATATATTTAGAAGACAAGATTAATATGAAGTCACCAGACACACCGCAGGTACGATTGCGGTCAAATACCTGCCTTGTCCTGCATAAAAAAAAGACTTACTGTCACGCTAACAGTGAGTAGATCGTATTAATTGAAAAAGACACAGCCAGGTGACTGAGTTTCTGCCGCCACTTCTTCTCAACACCAGCTCAATGCTGTCCCGAATAATTGGTGGTAGGGCGAGATACTTGTTACGTGTAAAAGCGCTTTTTAAAAGCCTACTGGCAGGAAATGGATGAATTGAAAATTATTTTTTGTACAAGTAGCGTTATTTTGAAGAAGTCAACCGATTTTGAATCTGTCATTATTTGCTTTAACCTGTTTGCAGCCAATATGCTAGGGGTCATGTATGTCAACTTAACATTGAGATCTGTAAAACTATTTGTATAAATAAATAAATAAATAAATCTTTGGACAATTTCACACAGCGCCAGCTAGCCCCAAAGTAAGCAACTTAATGCTTGTGTTATGGGTGCTATCTTAACGTATGACAGAGAGACTTAGAATCCGATGCTGACTGCTGCTAATCTGATGTTAAATATCAGCAGGATAGGCTATTAGACAATTACCTACTAGTTAAAGTTGATTGTTGGTAATTCACTTGCTTAACATTAAAACAGTGTAGGTAGACACGAAAATACGTTACCAGTTGTACTCAAGAAGTAAAAATATTTGTTTGTTAGCCTAAATGGCAATCTCTGAATATCTGTTCCAATTTTATGAAACCCACCACTAATGGAATTAGGAAATATCTTTGTCTAAATTCTTTCAATTTTGAGAAATACGCAGTTCCTGAATATCTTCCACCGTATGTGGATAGTACCTTAATAAAACCGTAGTTTTATACTACACTACTAATTACACCATTAATACGAGGAAGATAATAATATTTTCAGTACGGTAGACACAAATAAAACGTCTTTCTAATATCTTTGGACAAATAGACGCCCATATTCACAATCATTACTATGAGGTCTCCCAGTGCGCGTGGACGCACAGGGTAACACAAATATGAACCAATCACAGAGCTCTATTCAACGCTGTGCGTACGATTTGCTGCTTCACTTAAGCAAATATTGTTTGTGAATATGGGCGTGAGTGTCAGATAGGATTGTTACAGCCCTTACTATGGAAGACGAAAAATTATGTGTAGTATACCCCACCAAGTGCAAGTGCCAACGTCTTTAGCCCGCTCATTAGCCCCGCTTATGTAAGTGCGGCTCCACGCAAACACTCAATTAACACTAATTAATAGAGAGCAGCCTGACGGCGCTTGGAATGCCAAAGGAATTCCGATTGAGGGTATCATAACAAAATTATATCGAGGATCTTCCTGTAAACAACCCTCAGATATTTTGGATTCAGAACTCTTAAAGATATTAACTTCTTCCAATTTATATAAACACAGTAAGAGCTTTTTCAGAGCACTTACTTTTCGTAAGTCTTATTACGTCAAAAATGCTAGAAGCTAACATATTAATGGTTGTCCAACCAACTTAAAAAATTTTGAAGACCTGCTGCCGGGTAACCAGAGGCAAATAGAGTTAATACTACACCTACACTTATATTATAAAGAGGAAAGATGATGTGCATTTTCATATCCGAAACTGCTTTTTTTCCTGAGTGAATAGGCACTGGGTTACCTACGTGAGTGNTTTTTTTTAATTTTTTTTTTAAATAACGAATTAAGTGTCTATGGGAAGAGGACACAGTTTAACAAGCGGTCGCTTGATAATACTGTCTTTAGTTTTAATAGTTGCTACTCGAATGGTTCCATCAGGACCAGGATGTAACTCGCATACCCTTCCCAAGGACCATTGCAAAGGTGCACGATTGTCATCTTTGATGACTACGATAGAATTAACGGATAACGGATCGGAGACTTTTGTCCATTTCATACGTTGAGTTAAAGAAGTTAGGTATTCGTTCTTCCAACGAGTCCAAAAGCTTTGAACGAAAGATTGAATTAGCTGCCAACGATTAAGTCGGTACAGCGCAACAGAGGAGTAATCCTCGTCAGGAACGCTTGTAAGTGGTTCCAGCGTTAAGAAATGACCCGGGGTCAGTACGTTTAAATCGTTTGGATCAGTGCTTAATGCGCACAACGGTCGCGAATTCAAAACAGATTCTATTTGAACAAATAAAGTGCTAAGTTCTTCAAACGTTAAAACTTGATTTCCTACTATACGATAACCATTGCAAAGGTGCACGATTGTCATCTTTGATGACTACGATAGAATTAACGGATAACGGATCGGAGACTTTTGTCCATTTCATACGTTGAGTTAAAGAAGTTAGGTATTCGTTCTTCCAACGAGTCCAAAAGCTTTGAACGAAAGATTGAATTAGCTGCCAACGATTAAGTCGGTACAGCGCAACAGAGGAGTAATCCTCGTCAGGAACGCTTGTAAGTGGTTCCAGCGTTAAGAAATGACCCGGGGTCAGTACGTTTAAATCGTTTGGATCAGTGCTTAATGCGCACAACGGTCGCGAATTCAAAACAGATTCTATTTGAACAAATAAAGTGCTAAG